CCAAAAAAACAACGAAAATAAAAACAAGCCAACATTTAAAAAATACTAAAACCAAACAAAATATTCCCAATTAAACATGATGTCCATTTTGTATTGGCCAGCTAGCTATTCCTGGGCATGGGGCCTACTCTGGATTGTGGTTGACATACCCAGAGACACTCTTTTGGAGAATGCTGATTTTCCCATGTCTGAGCAGCTGCAAATAGCTTGTCGGTTAGGGATGGACTTTGTGTCTCCCTTTCCTTCTCAGCCCTGCGATTTTGTCAGCTTTGAACTTGCATAGGTTCTGAGCATGTTGGTAGAGCTCCCAGAGCTATAGGCTCAGTCTGTCAAAGGAAAGGACTTTTGAACAACTGGCGGACTGATCTTCAGTAGGGCTATGCAGGGATCTCCAGGGCTCTACTGGAACCTCCAAACAAGCTCTCAAGTTGTGGATACTTTTGTAAAGGAGGACACAGTTGAAGGAGAACTAGGAAACCGAGGAAGTGTTCAGGAAAGACGGTAGGCATCCTGGAAGGAGAGGACTTAGCCAAGGGCATGCTGGTGTGGAAGGGATTAGTGAGGCCTCCGTTAAAGGAAATGAGTATTTAATGATGTATATTTGGGAAGGTAAAATCAGCCATGCTGAAGAGTTCAGAAACAGCACAATTTAGAAATAGAACTTTTGTAATGTAAGGTAAGGGTAAAAGCAAGTGCTATTTCAATATGAAAATAGTATGACTTTATTTATATTTTAGAAAAATAAGTCTAGCATCAGAACTTCCAATAGATTCAGGAATTTAAAAATCTCATAATGATGTTTGCATATTATAGGTATATTCTCCTTTTGTCTTTTGAAATGATCACTTTTAAAACAGGGACTGAGGCAGATGATGCTGCCATTGGCTTTATACTGCTTCTAAAGACATTAGGAGACATATGAAAAAAATATAAAATCAGTATTTAAAATACTATAAAAATACTGTAAATATCACTGTGTAAAACCTGTTAAGAAGTTTACATCTAAGATATTTATCTATAGAGTGATAGGTTTTTTTAATTTTCAGAAGTGATATGAAAAGTGATATGTAATCTTAAAAAATCTAGAGCAAAGCAAATGATTAGGTGAAGTGTAGCAGATTTAATACATCTCAATATGAAAAGACAATAAAAATCAATAAAGGACATGAATAGGCACTTCTAAAAAATATAGATGAATGATATCTGAGCACTTGGTGATATACTTAACCTCACTAGTCATCGGTAAGGTATAAGTTGAGTATTGCTTACAGACATTTGACTGCTAAGATTAAGAGAGTGAATAGCACCAAAAGTATGTATAACTGCAGCTCCCATGTACTATTGAGGGGCAGAAAATGACATAATTGATTGGGGAAAACATATTTTCTTTATAAAATATGTTTACCCTATCCAGAAACGTTACTCATAGGAATTTTTTCAAGGAAGTAAAAACTTAACAACATAAAAAAATGTTTGTATACAATGTATGCTTGTCTACAATCACACACACACACACACACACACACACACACACACACACACAGACACAAACCCTATGAATAATTCTTGTCCATTCATAGATGAATGAAGAAACTACATCTTTAATGACAGAATATTTATCAGGAATAAAGTGGAATAAAACCATAATTCATCTGATTTAAAAATCCTGCTGAGTGAAAGACACAAGAACCTCAAACTGAAGTTTAAAATTTTACAACAGCTAAAACATAGCTATGGCCACTGAAATACAAACAAGTGACCCCACTCGATATGCTGGTGAGAGGAGAATTCCAATGGAAAAGACACGAGGCAGCATCAGACAAATAGAAATGTCATGTCCTTATTGGTGCCATGATAACATCTGTGTACAGTCATTAAAATTATTCAAAGCTGTGTACTTTATATACCTATGTTTGACTTTACATGCATAAGAAGTCATAAATAGAATTAATGAAACTAAAAACAAATATAATAATAGAGTGGTTCACATGCAGGAACTCAGGTTAGAGTGCCAGGTTTCAAGACCTGAGTTATGGATGGGTCAGAGTATGATTGCCACATCAGAAAAATCTGGGGTTTTGAGGCACATTGCAAGTTCTTTGTGGCTATAACCTAGGCTAGACACTCGTAAAATGGAGATGATACAATTAGTATCCACTTTAGAAGGTTGTCTTTGGCGTAATGTCTGGGACACAGATGCATTGGATGCATTTAAGCTGTAATCATTATTATTAAATAGCTCTTCAGCTACACTGGCATTACCCTAACTCAATCAGGAATGTGTGTATACCCATGGAGATTTTAAGAATTAGATGTCTACAAACTGCATTAGGCTGCAATCTAAATAACTCAAACATTTGACAGTGTATGATTAAGTATTCACAAATCCTATTTTATTTATCCACTTCAAACCAAGTAACTATCTCTTTATCAAAAAAAGTGTTCCTTTAATGTTATTTCATAGAAGAACTTGTAAAAAAAAATCAAGCACAGAGAAATTAGAATATAATTTTTTTTCATAATAGTCTTCTTTGTCTGGTCCTTATCCCTTAATCTCATCATCTTTCCAGAGCATACATATGTGTATCTACAAAGGTACAAGGAGTATGCATACAACCATATATAAAATTCTGACTACACTGCATGTTAGCTGGCCTGTTTTTGGCAACTTGACACATGCTAGAGTCATCTGAGAGAAGAGATCATCACCTTAGAAAATGTTTCCATAAAATGGAATTATAGCAAGCCTGTTGTGCGTTTTTTTGATTAACATAGGGACCCGTCTATTGAGGGTGGAACCAGCCCTAAGAGGTGATACTGGTTTGCATAAGAAAGCATACCAAACGACCAGTAAACAGAGTTCCTCTATGGCCTCTGCTTAGTCCTCAGTGTGTGACTGTTACCTGGAAGTGTAAAGTGAAATCAGTGCTTTTCTACTCAATTTGCTTTTGGTCACAGTTTTTATCACCGAATTAGAAACCAAATCAAGACAGCATTAGTGGCAATAATTGTATTTTACACCAGGCATATTCATGTGAAAATCTTATGATAAGACTTTAGCCTCCAAGTTGATCTATTCTTCTTAATAGCTGCAGGATAGTCTATGGTAGGATGGAACTATATTTACTGAACAAGCTGTCTGTTTAAGAATGTAGTATAATTTCAGGTTATCATGTCTGCAGAAAGCTTTGAATTAATGCAAAGATCTTCTGCACTTGAGTTGATAATTTCATATGCTAAATTTTAAAAAGAGAAATGGCTAGTTAAACATCCTTGAAAAAATATTTTCAATCTTTTCTTGTAAGCAAGTAACTGTATCTTGTGTGTGCACAGTGGACAGGCCACTACCCTTCTAGAGCAGGGTGAAAGGTGGTTTTCATATTCTCCCCTATATGTCTCATTTGCTGATAAAGAGTTGTTTGTAAATATGCTTAATTCCATGTTAGGAAAGTTAAGCTAAACACCATCAATCTAGCACATAACATTGTGTCAAGCATCGAACTGAATGTCTCCTGTGCACCAGAGTCTTTAAATTCCTGCACAAGTATGTAAGACTCCACCACCGATACCAATTTCTTATAAAGTGGAGCTTAGTACAGCTTGTGGCTTGTAGAGAGCACAGTGTGGATGTCACTCCAGGTCCTTGAAGGGTGATGGTTGAGAGCAATCTGGAATATATTTGTTTCTATATGAAGGTCTTTGAGGGCTAGATTTGTTATCAAACACCATAGCGGTGTAAGTGGCAAAGCAGGTAAGCCTGAAGAAGCTTATGCCTTTGGACACTTGCTCAGCTAAGAGCGGTACCTTGGTGACAGTTTGTGGCAATAGAAGCCAACTTAGATACCAGACAGGTTGTGCCCTAAGCACTAAGTTCTCTCGAATATCTAGCTTCGTATTGAAATAAAACAAAAATAATCAGTTGCGTGATAGTATGGACTGTGGGGTGGGGGTGGTGTCCACCTCTCTAAAGGATTCTGTGCTTGCTCTCCCATTTTACCTCTTCTCTTACCTCGTCTTGTTTCTCAAACTTGAATTTTTTTTCTTTCTGCCTATAGAGCAGTACTTACTCAAAAGTGACTAAGCAGGCCAGTTTTCAAGTTCCTAATTCACGTGTACAGTGTACACGAGTCTTTAGTCCTCTACTTCAGCATTAACTCCTGAACCAATCACAGAAGGTGCTGATTTTAAATGAATTCAGCTGGGTGCTTCTTGCTTGGTTGGTTGTAAGCAAGGGGCCCACAGGGGAAGCTCCTGTTTAGGCTGCCTAAGGGTAGAAAGCCGCCGCTTTAGCTAAGTAAGAACAGCTGCCACCGCTTCAGGCTTTCCTTTGTGGTACGCAAGCCAGGTACACAGTCTTCCAGGTGCTTATAACAACACATCTGCTCTTTCGCCACCTAGGTCTTACCTGGTAAGAACCTGATCGTGTTTGCGTTTGTTCCTGTGAGGAACTAAAGTTGTGTAGAGGTTTTGTTTTTGTTTTTGTTTTGGGGACCCTTGCTTTTCCCATCTTCCTTTTGAGAAGAGTGCATGAGTGCCTTCATAACCTCATTTGATACTGGAGGTGAGTTGGAAGACACACTTAGCAGCTCAGAAGAGACAGCATTTCTTCCTAACACTGTTTTCATCGAGATTGGATGTTGGCAGAGAGCACCTACACTTGTGAAATTATCTTACCTGTCAGGGGCTCCTCCACCTTAAGGGAACGTTAACAGGAAACCAGCATATCACTTTCATTGTTTTTCTACATCTGTTTAACACACACACACACACACACACACACACACACACACACACACACACA